TAGGCACCCCTAAATCCTGCAGACATATTTCCTCCTTGTGGCAGATGACAAAGGAAGGATGGAGTCTCCTAGATGGTGGTCTCTTTCTCCCCTGTGACAGAGAAAAGCACAGTAATAATGGAGAAAGAAATTGTGTCATTGGTAATATCAGAGTATGAAAGAAAACTAACCCAATCCACTCTGAATAAGAACCCTAAGGACAGTGGGGTGACAAGTTCAGGCATGTTATCACTGTCTGAGCCATGGGCCTGTTCCCACTTGGCTGGTAAGACTCACTTGCCCCTTCAGTGAACACCAGTAGCTGAGCAGGCTTTGTCTGCTTATGGGAGGGCAGGTGGAACCCTCCAGTATTCAGGAACCAACTATACTTCCCAGCTTCCCTTGAGGTTCAGGCAGGTCATGTGATCAACTCTGGCCAATAGGCTGTGAGTAGAAAAGCCCATTGTCACTTCTGGGATGAGGCAGCGATGAGCCAGTGTGACTCCCTTATTTCCTTCCCCTGCTATGGTGGCCCTGGAGGCCACCAGGTGTGGCTCATGGGAAAGGAAAGCTGCCAACAACATGAAGCATAAGTGAAAATGTAAACTTTCCTTATATAAACCTGTTAGATACAGAGATTAATTTGTTACAGCAACATGGCCTGGCTTATTCTGATGAGTGTGAGGGTGGAGATTTGAAAAGGACTCATGTTTCTGGGTCCCAGGTCTGCCTCTGGCGGCCACACAACCTTGGGCAGGTTGTGCAGCTGGGCTTCCTTCCTGTACAGCAATGCTTATGTCTAACTGACAGGGTGAGGGTACTGAATGAGCCAGTGTCAGATGTCCAGCTCGTGCCTGCATATAACAGTGGTCGGTCCATGTCAGCTCCTGTCTGATCCTGGTCTCCTGACTCCATACCCTGGGAAGGTGCCCAGTCTGACAGCTACGTTACAGCGACTAACCGGCCATACACGTGTTTGGTCAGTGTTATGGTTTCTGTCTAGATGTCTCCTTAAAGCCTCATGCAGTCATGGAGGGGCAGGCTTTTTAGAAGTAGTTGGATTTAGAGTATGTGGTGCCGGGATCAAGGGTATATGATTAGTAAATCAGTCCACTGATTGGTTTGGCAGAGTTCTGGCTAGGATTCAAGATGAGAGTGCTACACCTGCCCTAGGGTGGGTAGCCTGCATAAAATATAAGGGACAGAAAGAGGCTTGTCCCTCCCTCCCTATTGCTTTTGCTATATCATGGGCACCATGAATTGTTTCTCTTCTTTGATGGTCCTCTGCCAAGCCATCCTACCTTGGAACCAGCTGATTATGGATGGAAACTTCTACAAACTGTGAGCTGCATAAACCTTTTCTCCTTTACCTTTGGGTGTTGGATATTTTGTCTCAGCAGCAAAAAAAGAAACTAAGACAGTCAGAGTTGCAGAAGGACGTACCTTGGGTGTTAAATCCGGCAACTCTTGGAAAAGTGAATTCTCCATTTGCCTCTCCCAACTACACACAGGAGCAAAGGAAGCAGAGCATTTGCAGCTGGTCCTGCCCCAGGCCTGTGCTCTCACTGAGGAGAGGAGGACCGAGGGGTGAGGGGCAGGTTCCCCACTGATCTCCCACAAGTAGGAGTGGGTGAGGAGCTACTCACCTGAAGGATTCCAGTATTTTAGCGAGGAGAGAAAGCAGCCCTTCTTCACCCTAATACCACCAAAACCAGGGATGTGACTTTTATCCAATCCAATTTTCCCCAACACTGCATGGTGATTGACTTCTGCCATGAAGAAATGGTTGGTGCTGTGTTCTTGGTGTTTTTTTGAGACACAGTAATGAAAACGAAACACACACACACACACACACACACACAGAGAGCCACCCCTTGAGTGGCTGAGAAGGTTTGAGGACCACAGGCTTATTTTACGGTCAGTCTCATGAAAACGCTATGTGGTTACTGGCAGGGTGTGATCTGAGGCCACCACGAATGTCCTTCAGCTCCCAAATATTTTCCCCATGGGAGTGTTACTTTTAACCAAATCCTGCCATGGTAGGTAAGGCTTGAGCAAGGCGCAGAGCTAGGCCATGACATGCAGCTGCAAACGTAAGCGTCAGACATCAGGACGGACCTGCCGCAGTTGCGGGACGTTCACAATCTGGCTGTCTTTGCTCTCGTGCAGCTGACAAGAGGCTTGGCAGTGCCTGGTCGACATTCTTTGCAAACGCGAAGTGTGGGAGAAACTTGCCCGGATGTGAGACTGCTTTCTAGCAAAGGGCCAGCAGGGCATCGTGGGTGTCTGTCTGTCTGATGGGCTTGCTTGGACCTTGTTCATTGCCCACACCACAGGAGCATGGGTCAGTCTGCTACAGCTGCGATGACAGGCTCCTGCACCCTCGGTGGCTTAAAGCAGCAGACAGTTATTGTCCCACAGTCCTGGAGGCCAGAGGTCTGATGCCTAGGGTTGGCAGGCTGCACCCCTCGGAGGGCTCCTTCCCCGCCTTTTCCTAGAGTTTGGTGGTTGGTGACAGGCGCCTGGGCCCAGTCCCTGCCTCCATTGTCACTGACACTCTCTCTGCGTGTCTTTGTGTTCAGGACTTATGAGGACACTCCTCGTTGGATTTAAGACCCACCCAAATCCATTACAACTAGTGATATCTGCAAGGATCCTATTTCCAAATAAGGTCGCATTCCAGGTACAGGGGCTTAGGGCTTGAACATATTTTTAGGGGGACACAATTCATCCCACAAGAGATCAAGATATATAGAGGCCAAGGGAATGTTGAGGTGCCCGGGGAGCAGAATGGGTATGGGAGGATGAGGGAGGATGGGCCAAAAGGAGGGTGTCACATTTCAATTGTGTTTTTCTCCAGACTATGCGGTGTAGTGTGTTGGTGAGAAAGGTCTGGCTTTTCCAGAGCTGGGCACTTTGCTGGGGGTCTGAGTCTTTTTTTGGCCACTGCAGTTTGGCTAGTCTCCTTCCTTTTTTTTCTCCTCCTTCCCTCCCTCCCTCCCTCCCTCCCTCCCTCCCTCCCTCCCTCCCTCCTCCCTCCTTGGGGCCAGACCCCAGACCAAGTTCTGATGAAACAGGGAAGCTCTCCAAGGAGCTTCCCGCCCACTGCACGAGAAGGTTAGGACTGGGATACTTTAATGCTGTGGCCTGGCATTTGTAAATCTCAAACTCTAGGAGAGATTTGGGGAAAATGATGCAGAGTGAGATTTTTTTTACAAAACCTGCCTTATATTTTTGGTTTTTCTCTTACACAAGTCAGGACGCCCATCCCAAGAATACTTGACCTCACAGTCACAAGGGAAAATCTAGGCTCCATGAAGAGGGTCAGGACTTCCTCTGCGATCTCAGGCGTGCTTGCTGAACACCAGAGGCCCTGAGCCCGTTGCAGGCTGGAAGCAGAGCACCTTGCGAGGTAGGCGCGGGCTCCCGGCAGTTCCGGGCAGAGCACCCTCTTCAGGAAGAGCTGGAGCCATCCGCAGCCTTGCCTGCTACAGAAGGCTCTGTGGTGAATACGTAATTAGGCGCTCTGTAATTACCCGTTTGAGTCTGCCTAGGATACTAGGGCTCCCACCCCCTAATTTACCTTATAAATTTATTCTGCTAAAAAAGTCTAAAATGTCACTCTTGTGCGAAAGCTGCATAAATGAATTATCTCCCCGAATGACAGAAGGTGGGAAGGAGGAGGCGGCCTCTGGAGGACATTCTTCTTTGTGAGTCTCCAAGTCCCCTACACTCACTCAGCAGAGCCCAACCAGGCTGCCTTCCGCACCCTCCGCAAGCTCCGTGCCACCAGGCTCTGTGGAGCGTCCCCAGCACTGCGAGGAGAGGTGGCATTTAAAACCAGCCTGTCTAGACTCTGTTAGACAGCTGGGGAGACTTTACAGGCTCAGGTGATGGGGCCCCCTGCACAGAAGGGAAGAAAGGAAAAAAAAAGAGACAGCTTCTTAAAAAAGGTCCCCGCCAGCCAGGTCCCACAGTCATCCTGCGCCCCAGGACCATGACCTCCTCACCCCGAATCCCAGTGCTGAGCTCCCACTCCGCTTCCTACCGCAGTCATTGCTCCCGTAATTCTTTCACAAAGAAAATTTTTTCAAAAAGAAAAATTGTTTGTGAAAATGTACGGCAGGTCTTTAATGACACGTTAGGAAGTTTGGGGAGTAAAGTCCTTTTAAAAGCCCCTGTCACTTGGCAATCCCAGCACAATAGCAGCCCTCCTTCCTAACTCTCCTTTGAACCTCCCGGCTCCAGGGTCTGTTTATTTCCCTCCCCCTTAGCCAAACTGCTACAAATTTTAATTTTGGGTGTTGATCATAAAAACCTTAAATGTGGACTATAGAAAACATGGGGACCAATGGAAGAAAACAAGCCCTGAGGATCTGCCCCCTCCCCGTCTCTAAGATGACTGCTTCTGGCATAGCTGGGGGCTTCTTCCTGTCCTTGTGCCCCGGCTGTGGTATTTCCACAACTCTGTGTGTGTCTGTAGGGGTGTGTGTTACTGGGCATTGAAACCGGGGCCTTCACACTAAACTACATCATCAGCTCTCTTTTTTTTTTATGTTGACATAGGCTCTCACTAAGTTTCTAAGTTACCCAGGCTGGGCTCAAGTTTGCCACCTTCCTGCCTCAGTCTTCCAAAATGTTATGGTTATGAGTATGTGCCTCTACACCGGGCTAATGCACTAGTCTTTGTATTAAGAGCTAGCTGACTCAGCCCTTGATACCCTACTACCGGGCTGACTGGGCAGAGGAGCAGAAGCAGAGCCTGGGCTGGCTGCGTGGAGAAGCTCTGAGCTCAGGCACCCATGAGCCACTTGCTCCCTGGCACCAAGCAGAGCACAATGGTTTACACATGGCCTCTCCAAGTTTGTGCTGAAACTGAGCCCCAGCATGGTGATATTAAGAGGCGGGGGTCTAGGGAGGGTTGGAGTCATGGGGGCCCCATCCTCGTGAATGGATTAGTGCCTTAGAAAAGGGATGGCAGCACTGTGTCCTGTTGCTTTCTACCACAGGAGGACCAAGAGTGGCTTCCTTCTGGAGGACCCAGTAACAAGGCATGGGGCCTGAGCAGACACGGAACCTGCCAGCACTGATCTCGGACTTGGAGGACTTCGAGGAACTGAATTGCTGGTATGTATTAATGACTCCATAGCAGGTGTTTTGTTACACAGCACAAATGAGCTCAGACAAGGTACTTCCTTAAAATTTGTTGAATATGCACACAAATGGGTGAGAAATTTCTGTTCAGAATAAAACATGGAAGAGTGTACCATGCATTGAGTTGAGTGTGAATCTCTTTCTGAGCCAAGCAAAGTGATCACAATATCAGTGCTAGGGGATTTCTTGGACATCTGAGGCAATATCGCCAAGGTCTGGGACATAACATAGGAGTCCAAGAAGGCAAGCGGCTGGCTAAGGGCGGCCAAATTATGGCAAGTGTAGTGGGCCCTTCAGTCTTATGCCTATAAGAGGTGGATTTAAGCTGCTGATACCCATCCTGTAGAACTCACAAGGTTGTGGGAAGGACAAACTCAAGTCAAGGAGTCTGATACAAAATACCTGACACAAGTTAAAGCAGGAGAATTTTATTTATTTATTTATTTGTTTTTTTTCCAGTACCAGGAATCAAACTCACGACCTTGCACTTGCCAGGCAGGCACTGTGCTGCTGAGCTAAATCCCCAGGCCTGGGAATTTTATTTTGGCTGATGGTTTCAGTGGTTCAGTCAATGGCTGGCTGGCTCCAAGGCAGAAATGGCACGACAGAAGGAAGGTGCTCATGGTATAGTGGGCAGGAAACAGAGAAAGAGAAGGGAAGATCCTGGGATGAGAATACAGTGTTCTAAGGCACTCCTCCAGGGATCCATGTCTAACTGGGCCCCACTCCCTAACAACATCTTTAGCTGGTCCCAGGTCTTGGTGAAATTGCCTCAGATAATATCCAACAAATCCCCTAGCACTGATATTATGATCACTTTGCTTGGCTCAGAAAGAGATTTACACTCAGCTCCATGCATGGTATAGACACTTCCATGTTTTATTTTGCAGAGAAATTTCTCACCAATTTTATGGGCATATTCAACTCCTCAATGGATGAATCTACTGCCAAGCATGGCACACCAGGATCCAATCACCTTTCAAACACATGAGACTTTGGGGGGGACATTTTAGATCTAAACCCTAACAGGGAGTCAACAAGGCATGTTACACTTTAAAGCCTTAGATCACTGTCAGTTGTTTCTCCATTTCAAAACTTCATGAGCAGTTTTCTGACTGATCATCTCCTCTCTCTGCACTTTGAGCCTAGGACTTTTGCTCAGTCCTTCCTGACAACACCTCACATGCTTTATCTTTCCTTCCTCACCTATTTCTCCCTTCTCCTGTTACTTGGTTTTTAAGCCATGGTCATGTCTCCTTGGATTTTGTTCCCCGCATCTCTTCTACTAAGCTGATGTCCTTGGCCCATTTAGATTTTGTTCCTGTTTGTAGTTTTCTTTTCCTTCTTCCATGTCCCGATTCAGCATGGACTTTGGCTTTGCCATCCTAGTGCCCTGATGAGCGGGGTCTCTGGCTACCTGCCTCTGGCTTGCGGCAAGGTTGGAATGGGATCTGTGTGGAGATCCGTGTCCGGGTTATGCACAGGGAGTGAGCTGGGGGTGATTTGGGCCCTGTCTTTTGGTGATTGGGCTCTAATATCTTTCTCTTCCCAGGACTAGACAAGACACACTGTCTACCAATCAGACCACCCCTCCATGGCCCACCACGGCTTGGGGTCCTTGAGAGAATTCTGTAACCTGCGATTAGGACCTCTGCCCCTACTCCTTCCTCCAGCTGCGCTTGAGACACACGCCGATGGGTACATTTGGGATGCTGTCCTAGCCATGCCGTAAACAACCACGTGCTGACCTTTTCGCTGCTCCTCTCTGGAGCGATTTGTCAAGATCAGGTTCACCCAGGTACTAACCGCTACTCAAAATTGCCGCTTAGGCCCCGTACCCTGTGGTATGCTTGGCATTTCACAGGCCCCCTGTCTCTGTGTGTTCCAGGAACGAATTGCAGTGATGTCTACAGAGTGAGTGCTGTGTGTCGGGGACCAGGCTGGGAGTTTTCCATGGATCCAGTTAGCACCACTTCTGTACTGCCAGCCCCAGAGAGAGCACCAAGCCCCACATGATAGGAGACCCCTGAGCCAGAGACCTGATGCCTCCCTTTCCCCAGCCTCAGCCTGCAGATCTGTGCTGCAGCACACGCAGGAGCCAGGTTTTGCAGGGTGGGGAGCAGCTCTGCTTCCAGGCAGCTGGAACCCCTTCAGGCTGGTGCAGGGAGTCAGCACCCGGCTGGCCCTCGCCCTGGCAGGCAGGCAGGCGTTGGGGGAGGATGCCTCCTCCAGACCCAGCCTCCATTTCTCATTCTGCGGAACCCTTGATGGACGCCGTGGCGGTGGCGGAGGCTAATTGCACTGAGCTAATGCAGCCGCTGTAATTCCTGTCACCCCCAGCAACTCAGTGGGAGCTTCCGATGAATAACGCGCTGCTTTCAGGGGCTGTGTACATCAGTCGCATGTGTCACTGGCAGAGGTCAGGCAGGGCACCTGAGCAGCAGGAGGGGGGTACAGCACCACCTCGCCAAGTCTTTAATTAAAGGAGGAAATATGTCACAACCTACATGGCCACAGTCCAGCCTGACGGGGTGTTTCCGGAGGCAGTGTAAGGTGCTGTTAAAGACTTTGATGGGAACTGTGTACCTTGGGAAGAGACAGAGAGAGAATATGTGTGCTGAGGGTTCCAGGGTGAGATCTTGCAGAGAGGTGATCCAGCCTTCGGGGTCTCCCTGTAGCTCCCTCCGGCAGTCTGGGGCTCCCTTGCACCTGCTCCTTACCCGGGAACTGTAACCCTAGGAGATCAGGGAGCCCTAGAACCAGACAACTCAATAAAGTCACAATAAAACATCCAAAGCCTTTCATACTTTTTCACTTTCTCTAACTCAATTTATTTTTCATTTTGTGGACAGAGATTTAGTCCGGGTATTAGTTTATGATTTTTACTGAAGGAATTACTCAACACACACATATAAAAAGGAAATATTATTTTTATCATTTATTTTGTGCCATGTATACCATAGGAGGAAAAAAATGGAGTGAAATCACTTCAGTACCGCTGTGTTTTTCATTACAAAGTTATTACATATAGAAATTACTCCAAATTATCTGAAATGAATGGAAATTATGAGGTTTAAATTCCCCAGGTTACTGCAGGCACAGCTCTGGAAATTTATTTTGTCATCTTGCTGAACATAATTGCTACAACAAAATTTCTTCCATTTTACAACTGCGGCATAACTTATTTATACCGGTGTAGCTGTAATTTTACATCAATAAGTTGCATGGGAAGGAATACACAGGTGGTAATTGAAAACAATAATTTGTACTGAGGTCCAGGTGGAACGGTTGGCTCAGAAAAAGGCTCCTGTTATTGTCGGCAACAGCTTTGTGTCACCGCAGCCTCTTCCTCATCCCCTTCGCCAACCCTGGTCAACCCATCCAAACGCCCTCAGTCACGTTCTGCGGCAGCCACGGTAGGTGGGAGCCACGCTTGCCACGCTTTTTGCGGTGGCCTGAGCATCATGTCCTGGAAACAGGGGTGACAGGGCCCTTGGGGTGTGGAGGAGGCCTGTGCTGTTCTGAGCCGGCTCCCGGCCCTCTCTTCTCCTGCTTTGCAACTCGCCCCTGGGTTGGGTGTATTTAGGTACCCGCAGCTAATTAAGGTGTTTGATAGATTTCAATTGGAGTAGGAGTTCTTGCCAGAAACATCAACAATTCGATTCCCCAAGCACAACGCAGAGCGTTCAATCCGCTAATGCTTTATACATTACTGTGTTCCTTCCCAGCCGGAATGTGTGGTCTGGGTACAATACCGAACCGGTCCCCAAACAGGCGTCCTCACTCTTCAGTTCTCTAATTGTTCCTGTTAAGCAGATACAAATAATGAAACTGCAGATGCCTGTGTTAAATCCCAGCAGCTGATGAATCCGCCGTTTGCATCCGGAGGTCCAAATACAGATTTTTAACAGTGGACCATAAATCTGCCCTATTTAGAATCCAGATCGCCATGGTGGCCTGGACCCAGGTCGGAGAGGGTCTAGGCTCCCTTCAGTGTTCCTTTTTCATGACACTCCTGGGAGGGAGGGGAGAGGCAAAGGGCTCTGTTGTAAGTTCAAATGGGTGATGTTATCGCCACATCCATATTTCAGAAGCCATTGTTGTTTCAAAGATCCCGAAAGGCTTAAAATCACAGTGAAGTCATTTTTTTTAAAAAAAGGCCTAGATTAAGCTGATATCACAATGCGCAGCAATCCAGAGTCTCAGTTTTCCCTGGGTGGCATTAATTATCTTTTGTTGTAGCAAATTGTCTGCCTTGTAAATGGAGCCGAAAGAGCATCTTCAAGCCGACGCATGCTTTAAATATGTCCGCAACGGAACAACTTTTTAAACTTGTGGCACGACAGGATCTCATTCCATCTCCAGCAGTGTGCCTACGGTGAAAACTGCACGCCCAGCGTTGTGTGTCAGTCGGTTTTCAACCCTCATCCTTCCCTGTGAAGTTGAGGGGAAGACACTTCGGTGTTTTCTAGGATCCGAGCTACCTTTGTTGAAGTCACTCGAAAGCATAATTCGTGGCTGTTTCTAAAACTACAAAACAACAGATGAGATCTCCCAGAGCCCTTTTGCTTTTCTAGCTCTGGAAGGCGTATCTGAAACAAGGTGTTGGCTGGTTTTTAGTTTTGTTTTTTGGAAAGCGCCCCCTTGCAGCCTTCTCATTAGCTGCGCCTGCCTTTCGGAGGGATGCTGGCCTGACTCCTGCTTCTCTCTCCAGCTCTGTTCTTCCAGAAGTCGGCGCTTCCCCCTCACTTCCTTCGCAAGGCATCTCAGCACATAGGAGTTTTCGGGGGTGCCTGGTGCTGGGGGTAGGGGAGAGCTCACCACTGAGTCCGGCTTGTCTACAACTCCCGCTTAGCATTTCCTGAAACTTCCTCTTTCCCAAACTGCTTAAGGATACAAACTAATTAATCCTCACAGCCTCGTAAAACCCTTGTTAGGAGGGTGATCATTATTGCTCCCTGCCCGGCCCCTCCCCATTCCTTAGCACTAGGTATCTCATTGTCACACAATCTCAGCGACAGCGGCTGACAGCCACTCTGAGCTGAAAATTCCCTTCTGAATCCCAGTGCTCTCCCTAAATGAACCATCTGAACTCTCTGTCTCTTGCTAGTCTATGCTCTGTAAGTAGAGCCGGTTGATGGTCACCAGACCACTGAATTCAAACTCGTGTGTGTGTGTGTGTGTGTGTGTGTGTGTGTGCTTGTGCACATACATGTGCACACGCATGTTCCAGAGCTTTCACCATTGCTGGGAAAGTGGTCCTTTCACACGTTCAGTTACACAACTTGGAGACACGATGACATGAAGGAATGTGGCAGAGAGACCCCTTTTTTTGCACTTTACATACCACATGTACACACACACACACACCCACCACAACCATTGTGATCGCTATATACGTGAGGGTCTAGGGTCAGGGGTGGGATTTGGTAGAGTCTCTTCGTCTTCACGAACAATATTTTTCCCAAGTCGACCAACTGGGTAATGCTAGTCCCTACCAAATTTGAATTGATGACTCAACTAAAGAATTAAAATTAGCAAGGCAAGAAAATTCCAAATGAGGTGAGAAAGCTGTAGAAGTAGTTCCAGATCCTCTAGTACTGAGCCATTCAATATCATTTCTGATGACAGGGACAGAGCTAGGAACATTCAATGTGGGTGTGAGTCTTTTTCATATACAGGGAGACGGGTAAGTATTTTTTGAGGAAAATAATGCATGAATCAGGAACAGCACATTTGGTTTAACCTCTTGCAGGCTGTAGATATAAAGACAGCAGGCAATGGTGCTTCTTGGCTTTCCTGGAGACTGTTTATGCCTTGTAGAGCTAAATAATAGTCACAAGTCTACTACTGTTCTAAAGCCCAAGTATTACTTGCAGAAAAAAAATAAGATGCGAATGACTCATGTGTTAACAAAAGCATTGTTCTTAAATTCAGTACATAGAAAGAACCAACCAAACAACGGGTGAGAGGCAAGTTTTGCGGCCCTGCCTCCTCCGCTACCAGGTGACAGCACAAAAGACCTCTATATCCAACAAAGCCTCAGTCGAGTGCTTACCGCACCCAGAAATTTGCAGTAATTTTCAGAAATGACACAAAATAATTCTAGAAGATATGCCAGGAAGCTCAAAGGCCTCTCTTGTCTCTTTATGCTTCTGGATTGGATAGCTCCTAAGGATTCTAGGAGTGTAAGGAGAGGAAAAGACCATCTAGGGGCCTATCAATATGCATATACATACGACTGGCTTGGTACCACCACTGCCTATCAATGCAATCGAGGGAAAGCCGATCCGACCCACTACTCAGATCAGCAGGTTGTATTTATCTTTACCTTCCCAGGCAATTGTGTCTATTATAGGTCCAGAGGAACAGAAATTAGCAGAGGTGGTTTTCTTCTGAGTTTGGCTTATACCTGTGAAAATGAAAAGATTTGCCTTCTCTTTGCATGGCTTTTTTTTTTTAAAGCTCTAGAAATGGAACCCAAACTAATTTGGTAAGATGTGTTGTTGGATCTTTATATTGCTACAAAGTTATCTGAGTATGTCTTAGAGGGAGGGTCCTTGTTAAAAAGAAAATAAAAACAAATGAAATGTCAGTTTGCCTTCTGCAGAAGAGTTCCCATTTCCACTGATCCTTTTTATCTTGATTCTTTCCAAATTTTTGTTAAAAAAATAAGATAAAATGTAACAGCTCAGAAGGCAAAGATAACATCGCGGAATCTCAATCAGGGCCCAGTCCACAGCTGCGTTAAATATTGAAAATTATTCAAGGCATTTTAAACAAAAAGCCTGATTTGGGGGTCACCGGTCTGTTTAGTTTGCCCCCATGTACTGCGAGTTACAGGCCATACACAGAGGGAAGTAGAACCCCACGCAAACCTGCAAAATGCACTGGGTGAAATGAGTTGATTTTTGAACTATTCCTCTATAAAGAAACTATCCCTCTTCAAGGGACTGCAACTGTGGGGTTTTATCTGCTGGAATGCATGTGAAGCAACAGGAAAAAAATAGCAGGGGAATATTTGGGAGTTCAAAAAGCTTTTTGACATCTGCTATGTGTGTTTAAAGATAGTGTGGAAAGTGTGATCTTTGTTTCCATCTGACGCCATAGTCTGTGCAAAGCTTCAGCTTTGAGCAGAGCGCACAGTAGGCCCGCAGCAGGTGCTGGAAACACGCATCCGAAGTTTCACGATACTAGCTCAGGCCCACGTTTGCACCCGCACTTTTTCCTC